GTCCGTGCATAATAGCATGTATCTAATTGTAGGTAATTGAACTTTCAACTTAAGTGACGTCAATTTTATGCCTAAATTTATTAATTGAACAACTGGTTAAGTTCCTTAAGAGGAATCGCATTTGCGGTCGTGAGTTACATCCTTTAACTATACTTTACATCACTCAGAAGTTTCTGCCTTTTTTAGATTAATCCTCCATGGGCACCTAGCTTGTAGGTAATCATAGCAAAATGGAACTTACCTGAGGAAAGTTGATCTTTTTACATTCTGTTCTGGTAGTCCAAGAGTCCAAGGAGGTGGTCCCCAGTTGTGCTCCTTTGGGAGCAGATTGTAGGGCAATCCAGTTTATCTCAGCCGTTGAATTTGAGCCGTTGCTGTACTCGTAGATACAAGCGCGGAATAGAGTTCTATCTGCCGATTCCACCCAAATAGCAGCCCCATTTCCACGGGCCTGGTTGTTAACTGAGTGACCAAAGGAAGCAAAGACTTTTATTTGCTGTCCACCAGAGAACGATTCAGCAAATGTTATTGTCTCACAAGCGAACAACCCTGGACTTTTGACAGTGATGTTGGTTTTTCCAGCTTTGAAACTGATTGCTGTAAGAGAGGAAAAGTGTCTTAGTAAAAGTAAGCTCCCGTTGCCTCTTGGCTATTTAAAATGGCTGCAATATATTTTTTAATAATTTCAAAACGCCTTGAGCGCAATGGCCTTGAACATAGTTCCGTAACTTGCGCTTTCCTTGCGCGCCCCACCCCCGATTCCTGCGTCCTATCTTGAAATGAATCTTTCATGAATTTACCGTAGAAAATGACCACCAAATATCAGCATTCAAAAGCATATTCTTAAAACATTTCACTAAGGAAATACTTCATGGTACCTTGACTTCCCTGAGCAAGAAGCACAGTAGTGCATACTGCGTAGAAGACAAACGGAAGGTGTTGCTCTCCCACCATCTTGGCTTAACTGAGGAAATGCTCCCTCTCATGCGAGTAATATAGAGATTGTCTTTACGTGAAGGCATCATTTTTGTTGCGTGGACAGATGATGGAGCAGTAAAGCACTAAATTACCAAAAATGGACAAAATTTATCAAAGTCCTGAAGTTAAGGTCGAGTAAAGGGGGGAAACACTCGTTGGAGAATTGGCCAAAGTATTGCAGTAAATCATTCTGATTTTACAGAAAAATGACCAAAGTAAGAAAGAAGGTAGAACTTACGTCAACTCCCTCAGGCCCCTTTTCTCTCCAAGTATTTCTCCCCCTCTCACTGTTTTGCCCCTTAGTGGTTTAATCCTGACGCTTTGAATAAACATCTTCCCTTCACTTATACATCATACTAAGTACCTGTCCTAGAAAAAAAAATACGGGAATTTTTGCATATACTTACCTTATTCCTTTACCTCCCCCTTTTCCTCTATACACAACTTTTCCGACTGCATATTAAATGTCTCACTGTAACTTTTCGCTTTAATGCAACGTTCCCGTGATGTACTATTTTGCTTTGGTAGTGAAGTGTCAAGAGTTGCGCAGCTTCTTTTGTGTCTGATATTGCAAAGGTCATTGACGGTTTATTTCCTTTTCTCAAAATGTGCACAGGAAATTTTACTCGATCAAGAAGAAGTAAAAATAAGTTCAATCACTGCCATTCCATAGCCATACAAAGTGATTTTTTAAGAAATGCATTACCACTATGATGCATTTGTCAGTTGTTTTCCCTTTGTTTCTCTGTGTGTAAGTGTTGGAAGCTAAGATAAGATTATAGCGTTCAATCCTTTTAACGAATTAAGCTTTCCAAAGCTTTTAAACTTTTAAGTATAGGGTTTGATATTTGCGATGTCTGATTTAGACCAACAAAGAAGTAGGAAGCTATAGCTACTAAAGAAAGTTGCTTCTCCAAAACTGAATAGTTTCAATTTGGATGAAAATGCTAGACTATTCGAGTTCTTCGAATTCATCCCTTTGAAAGTGATACCTAACAAAAAATCCCTGAAGGACTGGCCACAATCCAAAGCTGAGAGCTAATGGCGAGATTAGATCGCACAAGTGGCGGTTCCAACACTAAAAAGGTCACTTTAAAGTTCCTAGCTACCTCCTCTTCCCTCCCAAATTCATCTACCAGCGCTTTCAACGCAGGATTTGCTTACAGTACGTTTTTAGTTTCCTGCTAAAGGCGCTTTCGTGATTTGATTCAATCTTGTTCAGTACGCTCTGGTTCATTTGTCTTTTTGTCCATTTGTTAGCAGTATACGTCCCAATATAGCCCCAGTGTAATTTCATTGTGTTTTTACAATAATTTTTAGTAATCTGAACTTCAGGAGTAAAGGATAAGGTCATCCCTAATGACATCAAAGCCACCCGCACTGCACGAATTGCCTGTCTACTAAAGGTGTCNGATTTAGACCAACAAAGAAGTAGGAAGCTATAGCTACTAAAGAAAGTTGCTTCTCCAAAACTGAATAGTTTCAATTTGGATGAAAATGCTAGACTATTCGAGTTCTTCGAATTCATCCCTTTGAAAGTGATACCTAACAAAAAATCCCTGAAGGACTGGCCACAATCCAAAGCTGAGAGCTAATGGCGAGATTAGATCGCACAAGTGGCGGTTCCAACACTAAAAAGGTCACTTTAAAGTTCCTAGCTACCTCCTCTTCCCTCCCAAATTCATCTACCAGCGCTTTCAACGCAGGATTTGCTTACAGTACGTTTTTAGTTTCCTGCTAAAGGCGCTTTCGTGATTTGATTCAATCTTGTTCAGTACGCTCTGGTTCATTTGTCTTTTTGTCCATTTGTTAGCAGTATACGTCCCAATATAGCCCCAGTGTAATTTCATTGTGTTTTTACAATAATTTTTAGTAATCTGAACTTCAGGAGTAAAGGATAAGGTCATCCCTAATGACATCAAAGCCACCCGCACTGCACGAATTGCCTGTCTACTAAAGGTGTCGCACGTTTCTCAATTTTGCTTTAGTCTTGATATTTTGTCTCCACGTTTTCTTTTCTATTGTACATTTTAACCGATTATGATTCTTAAGATCATTTAACTAATCAGTTACTGAACGCTGGCACCGAAAATCCGGCTCTTGACTAAAGCAAACCAGGCCACTTGCATTGCTTCAATTGTTTAATTCGGACCTCTGAGCCCTCGAGTTTTTGTAAGAGAGAATTGGGGGCCTGTCTAATCCTCTCTTAGTTTCTGCTATGTCATGTTATGACATAGCACATATATATTGGCTTTCCTTAAAACTTTTATCCCTGTAAACCTGAGCACATCACAAAAAATTCAGTAGGGGAGGAGAGAGGACTGTGAGGGGTGGGACTGGTTTATATTAAAGCTAAGTCATTCTACAGTCCTAAGAAAGTGTGAATAATGAGCTAACTCATGCTCTCGTGGCAGTTGTTAATGATACAGCATAATAAGGTCAAACTAAGGACGTCAATGAGTATACCGTAAAAATAATCGCTATGTTTGAACAATTTTAAGTTAATTTTAATTCAAAAATAATATTGCTTCATATTAAGACAGTCAAAGTGCTATAACTTTTTAGCAGAACGTAATTCCGTGCAAAGGAGAATTACCTGTTAATTTAAAAAATCCACGACCTCAAGAACAGAGAACAAAGAAAGGTGCTGCGAGTTTAATTCAAATCTGATTTAAATGTTGTTTTCATTTAATATCACTTTGCAAACATTATGACCATACCCTTTAAAAAAAATGTTGTGTAAGAAATACGGAAATCCTTTATTCCTCCAGCAACCTTCCAGCAACCCTGTCATCTTATCTTCAACTCTAGACATTAGTCACGTTCAGCCCAATCACACTAGTGTTTATGCCATCATCGACCCTTCTCCTTAAGCAATCGTCACTTTTGACACCATATTACGTAACCAGAGCAACCAATTGTCGTCAAAGTTTATTATATTGTGGTTCTCTGTAACATTTTGAACAGAGTAGTCAAGCAACTAATAGTCTCACAAATAGTCTCAAAGAGTGCGGTCGAAAGAAGCACATGTATGGATAAGACACGAGTCTAATTTTTTTGTTTTTCCTTTTTGTTTCCTTTAAAACGATTTCCAGTTGCTGTTTATTTATTCCTCGTGGTGAAACAGATCTTGAAAAACCCCTTATACGAGGCCGAGTGGATTCCTCGCCGTACTTACAGTGATATGTTTAGGATAACGAACCCCTGTTAGTTACGAACACATTTTTCCAGGCAGACCCCAGGTATTCGGTTTATCTGGATTCCAATGCATGTATGATTCCAATTGCTGATTATGTTGTTAAGGGGCTTTATGTGTTAATAATACAAAAGACGGCAACGAATCCTTGTTGGCCAAATGAAAGCTAGTGGGATTTTCGCGATCCCGATTATAAAGTGACTTGGCATCGCTGTGAGCCTGTTTACACAGTGATTGGCATGGGCATCTTTGTGGGCCCGATTTTAAAATGAGTGGGCGTCTCTGTGAGCTTGTTTATTTATGTGCGATGTGCGATGAGTATATCTTTGTTACGGCCTGATTATAAAGTGATTGGGTGTCTTTGTCAGGGACACCTAACAACCCTCTTAAATACAATAATTATTACATTGAAAACAATTTTAGGCTTTCCAGAGAACTTTAATAGCGGATGTCTGTAAATATCGACCAGAGGTGGGAAAAATACAATTTTTGAAAAATCCCAAAAAAAATCTGTAGACTACCCTGGGTATTCTAGTTATGCAAATATAAAGTTTAGTTTCATTGGATAAATATTTCGCGCGATTGACGGCCTCCTCCATAGCGCTTTTTCAGGCCTCTAGACCTGGCTACAAAAAGACCACGATTTCAATCGAATTCAAGTATCATGCAACCCAAAAAGCTTCTTATCGTATTAGACGGGTTTTAATACACATTTTGAGTGGTCATGTTCTTGAATTGATTGCAACTGGAATATTTTATGAATTTTTAAATATTTACAAAATTTTAAAGATTTTACGCTAGCAAAATATTGTCAAATTTCAAACGC